CTGGCTTGGCATTGGTCAGCAGGTGGTGAGTGGCTGCATCACTTGTTTTTCCTGGATTTTGTTCTTCTCTTTGTTGTTGTTTTCCTTTTCGCTAGAATTTTTCTTTTTTTTTTTTAATTATTAAACTGTTCTTATCTCAACCCATGAGTTTTCTTACTTTTGCCCTTCCAATTCTCTCCCCCATCCCACCGGGAGGGGGCGGGTAAGTGAGCGGCTGTGTGGCGCTTAGTTGCTGGCTGGGGTTAAACCACGACAGACACGTACAACACAACCACCGCAAAATCTCAGTCACTCAGTCTTGGCAAGACAGCAGTATCACCACTGTCAGTTCTTTTGCTGCCATCAAGACACCAGTGAAGAGTCAAAGGAAAATAGGAGGAAACTGAAGCAGGCTGCGTGGAATTGTTTCAGTATAGAGTCTTCTACTTGCTATAGCTGAGTCTGCCAAGTGTCCCGCTTGTGGCAGACATACGCTTCCCACTGAAAGCTGATTTGCCTGATCCCACCTAATGCAAGTTTTACAGAATGACATCTGTAATTTATTCCTACGCTGTCTAATAGTAATTTTCACTTAGTTTCTAACTTTTTTTTTTGTCTTCAGCTCATTACTTCAGTACCTGTATGAATTCAGTAAGTCCATGAATTTTATTGGGAATTTCCAGTGTTTAGTGGCCATTGTCTCCTTTAGATAACAACATGTGAAAATGCAGACCCTCCTGAAGTTTTCTTGAATGCCTGCTGTATGTGATTTTGGAATTCTAGAGAGCAACTATAGATTTTCCATATGGTATTGTCTTATGAAGCACCTAGAATAAACATTTAGCTGGGAGGGAACAGAAAAATAAGCAGACAGAGGAATAAACAAATAATCTAATTTCTTTCCATGAAGAGTTTTGAGTCAAATGTTGAATTTGTACTAAGCACGTACCTGAATCTCATCTTCTCCAATAGCACCAAATGACAGCTTCTACTTATTTCCTTCACTGGCCTGAATTCAAATCCTTTACTTTGTAGAATTTATGCCAATTCTAAAAAAAAAATCCAAACAACAAATGTTGCAACATAGTTTCTAGGCTGAAACTCAATAATTACTTTTTAAAATTAGATCTTCATGTAGCAGAACTACTATAAAAATATAAACCTTCTGTGCATTATGTTTGGGTTTTGATTTCTCCCTCCTTCCTGCTATGGGAATCGGTTCAATCTCATGTTTTGCACTCACAATACATTTGTTTAGTCTGCCACTTTTTTTGTCTTTCTCCCTAACTCCCATACAGCGTACACACCAGAGTCCAAATAAATCCTCACACTACATTTAAGTTTTGTTTGCTACTGAGTCACAAATACTGAATAGTTTCTCTACTAAATAGATGATAGATCTACTAAACAGATCTATCAGATCCAGATAACGTGTGTGATATGAGATTTTAAGTGTGAAAAATACATAGAATTATGTCCACTTACCAAACCTGAGCCATTCTGTCCCCCCTCCATAGAGAAACTTGAGGAGGAAGGAAAATTCTCTAGGGAGTCCACTATAGTACATGTGGTTTGCTCATCTGACAAACTTTCAGAGAGAAAATATTTTGTGGAAGTCTGTGATTGCTCTAAAAAGTTAGAAACTGTCTGCTTAGCTCCTGTAAGAATGGTAATTGTACATCTGGTGTCCTGAAATGCCTTCTCAGCTGGAAAGAGGAACATGGAAGAAATAGCGAGTCATTCTCCCAGCTTTTGATGTGAAAACTCTGCCAGCAAGTGCTTGTGGAACATTGCTGTTCTCTCTCTGCCTGGACTCCGTGAAGTCCTGTCACCACAGAGCATTTGGAGTTCCAGCACTCCTTCCACTTTTGTGCACAGCACACCTCTGCTTGATGTACTACTGCAGCAGTAAGATCCTGCACATGCTGAGGCCAGTGAGAGCACCCGAATGGATTTTACAAAGCTAGAACAAACCCCAGTCTGCACTGTTAACAACCCAAGATAAAAATCTGAAAAGATACCGAGATGAAAAAGAAAACTTTATTATACTGAAATAGAAAGAGCCAGAGGTTGTGATTTGTTCAGTAGTTAAGCAATGCTAAATACCTCTAGCTTACCAACAAAACCTGCTTTGTACCTACAAATATAAAGTGTATACTCTTCACTGCAAAAGTCTGTCCAAGAGTATAACACAGGTAGTAACTAGTTTTCATTCATTCTCAGTGAGCTGCCTTAAAACTACCAGATTGTAAATTGCTGCTTTTGCCTTATTTTTTTAGTCACAGAAAGGCACTTCTGCTTGAAGCTTCAAGTAAGTATATTTGCTAGTAGTTCTTTAGTGTGGTTGTACTTTCTTTGCTGTAATGTTTCCTTTTAAGTTTACGTATCTTTCTTTTCTATTGCATCAAGACTACCTACTGCCATATTTATAACAGCTTTATTTTTATATCCTTAAATGCTTTTTGTATTGCTTTTGATGATAGCCACAACTCTATTTTTGGGAGTCTTAACTGTTTCCAAAAAACACTGACTATCACAATTTTTATTATGAAATAAAGAGGTGCTTCTTTCTCTATTCAGACCTCCTAGGTCCTAAGAAAGCATATATCAGGTTATTATTATTTGCCATTTCAATAAATGTAAGTTACACTATGCAATACTGGAAAGGAAGGAACCATAGCTTCCATAAAGCCATTAGCCAAATAGCAGTTAACTTTAAATTCTGGCATCCATGATGTCTGATTTCCCTTTTTCAGTATATTTATGGCTGGGAGAGCCCCGTCGTCACCTAGCAAATTCATGAATGAAAACCACTGAGCATATGATTGCATGAATGCGATTAGTTTTGGCAAAAGAAGCTTTTAAGAGCAAAAGAAGCTTTATCAGCAATGAAAACATTTAACTGACTATTACTACCTCAGACTTTACACTTTTCAAATTATGAAGCATCATGAAACAAATTTTCTTTAAATCTGCATTTATAAAGTAGAAAGGCATAGAAACACTTGTCCTTCATAAAGGGAATGTAAACACGATTTAACATTGACATAGCCTCAGTAGAATCTTTAAGTTGAACAGGCAATACTACAATGCATCCTATAAATTATTCCATTGACCCTCTAATGCAAGAATAGCTTATAATTAATACTTGAAACAGGGTAACATACTTCAACAAAAGAAATTAAAAAAAAAATCAGGAAAAAAAGAACAGAAAAGCTCATGAGAGATTTCCGATTCATCAGAAAGATCTCATCAGCTGTCATGAGGAAATATTATTTAACTCCATTTGGCATAGAAGGGGAATCCATCCAGTGACTACTCAACCACAGCTAAGACAAAATCAGCTACTGCTGGATCTAAACTGGTGAAAAATATTCTCCAGGTACCTGGACAGCAGATAAATTATCACCCTCAAAGTTGACTCTATGAAGGGAAATTAACGCAGAATAACACTTCCAGTTCTCTCTAATAGCTTAACTTAAAGAGCTTAACTTAGTTAATAGCTTAGTTAACTTAGTTAATAGCTTAACTTAAAGAGAAACAAACAAAACAAACAAAAAACCCTCACCACCCCTAAAAACCTCAATACTTAAAACATTTATTATGAATGCACTGCTTTTAAGAAGTGTGTTATTCTTATGAGTATTATCATCAACTAGTGACCCTTTCTTAAAGATCTATTTAGGTAGAATTCTTGAATGAAATAGCTTTGTCATGTAGGATGAACTGGACACAAACCATCACCACCTCATTTAGCAGCATAACAATAGAGTAGCATTATACATCTAGTTGTCAAAGAATGGTTTGCAAAAGGAACCACAATGATCATAACAATACAAAAACTAACTCAAAGTACACAGTTTGATTTGATAACAAAACATTTTCAAAATCCCAGCACTGATATAAAGGATACTCATATTACTCATTCTCAACTTCAAATTACTCATATTCTGTAGGCATATGTGTGTGCGCGTATATTTTTATATATACAGATGTATATATGTACATATACACACACACACATATATATGAATCCTTAATGTTAAATGAATTTTGGAGAACATAAGAAATCACCAAAATTTAACAAACCATGACAAAATCAATAGCCATATATTGAAAAGAATCAGAGGACTAGAATGATAACCAAGTTTAGAATGTTTTCTTACAGAATTTGCTCAAGCTGCACATGCTTGGCATATAGCAATGTTTCAATCCAGTCTCAGAAATAATAAATAGGGTTATAAACGTAAGATGTGTTTGTTACGCATGTAATTTTCTTCTCTGTCAATCTTGAAATTTTTACAAAGGCCGTTTACTTGCATCTTCTTAAATTCCCTTGTGTGAATTTATTCATGCAAAGTCTTTTAATTAGAAGACCACAAATTGTAACAGTTACAGTTGAATTATATCAGTTACAGTTCAGTCAGAATACAAAAGTGCCCTTGACTCAAGACCCAGTACAAGGGACGTTTTCAGCACTAAAGGACAGTTATTGCAAAATCAAAGACAGAATTAATAAGGGTCTTTCAATTTAACAGCAGAAGTTTAATACACAGAGAGAGACCCAGACATATGTTTTTCAGGACTTCAAAAAAAAAAAACAACCAACCCATACTATAGTGTGCTAATAAATATACATTAAAAGATTATAAAATTAATAAAAACTAAATGACAGCAATGAAACATGGGAGATGTTTACATTCCTAAACATTTCATTTATAGCTTTTAAGCAGCATTGCAGACTAAGTTAAAAAAATGCAGCCCTTTTTGATAGGTTTGCAAGTTATTCAAGTAATGTCTACTGAAAGGCACCTCTGAGCATTTCTGTTTCAACGGCTAAAACTTAAGTCTTATCTGGAAAAGGATGGCAGCATAAAACCAAGTATGTAAATACAGTTATACAGTTTAAAATTCTTAGTGCATATCAAACCATAAAAGCTCTTTGTTCCACTCTCCTTTAAACTGGCATGTATGTCTTGCTGCAAGATGTACCTGATCTAGTCTGGAGATTGGTGTGCTACCTATGGTGGAAGCGTACTGTTGTGAAAAGAAACATTACTAGAGAAGCAGTAAAACATTTCTTTTCCATGGCTACATTCTTGGGGATGCAAGATAGTCAAAACGAACCCAACTGTCATCACTAGCACACCGACAGCAAGAACCAGGCAGGACATGAAGTTATCTGAATGGTTCCATCGCTCTTTGGACAGCCTTAGATAACACGCTGTTGGGATGATAAAAACAAGTGGGGTAGCACTCAGAACTCCCTGTGTGTGGGAAAGAACAATAGAAAAAACCCTCATAAGCATGTATATTTAGATGTGAAGAACAAAAACCTAAATTTTTAAATGACTGTGATTAGATTGATGCAACAGTAAAGCCAGAGAATAGAGGCCTTTCCCAGTGTTGCTATCTGGAAAACTTTCTTTTCAAAGTCACAAATAACTTGCAAAAATATCTGTAAAACTATTTGAGATAATTCAGATTTATTTAAATGCTTTTGCTTTGCTGATACAGAATAATATTTTATGTTGCAAGTACTATTAAATCTGATTACCAGAAGTTTCTCAGCTTCAGAAGCACAGTAAAAGTTCAAACATAATAGTTCTGCAATACTGCAACTGACTTAAAATATTTTAAGATCATTCCATGTAGGAGTCTAGATATAATACTGCCTTAAAGAAAAAAAAGCAGAAACATCATGTAGCAGTTCAAAGAATTCTGATCAATTTCTACATTTATGACCTGATTTAGGTTGACTTCCCTATGGAAGCAAAGCTCCCTTTGAGAAAGTAAACCCCTCCTCTCTTATTAAAAATTCAGCTCCTCTTTAAATGCTCTCTTAGATAGGGACAGATAAAAAGCACCTGCTTAAATGCTTTTTATAGTAAAGCCACTGCAGATTAACGTATGAGTTACATGCCAAAAGAGAGCATTTTTATGCAGAAATTTTGAACATTTACTTTGCTGCATACTCAACAAACACTATGTTTCAGCTTAATTATGGTGAGGTAGTAATACAGCCTACTGAGTATCTTTGCATCATTGTTTGTACAAACTTTTTATGGTAGAACCTGTTATCAGTGATCAGTACAGACATCAAAAGTAGGTACATCCACAAAGTATCTTCTTCATAAAATTCAAGACTCTGAAGTATGTGAAGCAACACAAATCAGCATCCCAGTAAAAGAACAGCACAGCAAAACCCCTGGACCCTTGACTCCCGTAGGACAGAACGGTCTCCCTGGGGAATTACCACAGGGCAAACACAATGGCTTGTGTTTTGTTTTAAACCCAGAAAGCAAGAAAAAGTAAGCAGAGTCAGAGAAACAGCAGCAAATGCCATCTCTGGTGAAGAGCCAAAAGACAGCTCTTCTGCGGGACAGAAAGCCTGCTGAGAAGATAGATCATCTTTTTTTCACATGTGAAGACTCTGCCTATTCATTTTTCTCTGCTTGTGGATATCAAGACTGAACAATTTTTCTAAGCACAATGATTACATCCAATAAATACATACAGCTGTATTGTCAAATTCTCTCTTTAAAAGGGGAAAAAAAACCCACAAGATATGAGCTACCCACTCAAATGCCTGGCTATCAGCTTCTATTTGTAACTGAATCAAGCTATCAGCTTGACTATTCAGTAATTGCTTAGGCCTCTCTGAGTAAAGACATGGCATTGATGGAATGTTTGCTTTTGAGTGATTATTTTAAAACAATTTAATTCCAAATAGGAATCACACATATTTATTCATGCTAGAAAGACTCACTGGCAGTTCTCTGGTGTAAATCTATTCTTAACATGTTATACCATATCATAAATGTAAAATACATATACATATATAGACATACATGGGCACACATAGTTAGTTAGGTTCATTATACCAGTATTCAGATATTTGGCCAGAATAGGCATGTATGTATGTATGCAAACATTTAAATACTTTTATTGGTGTGTAGATACACACACAGGTGAATGTTCTGCATTTGTAATGTAAAAAGAGAGGGGAAAAAAAGACGGAAAAGAAATTACCAACAGATGCTAGGAATGAGAGATTTTAATGGAGACATGCATCTTGACCAAACCAATAGCAAAATTGTTTATTTTGAACTTGTTATAATTTGGAAAGGATTAACTGAGAAGAAACTATGTAGGTAATTATTTTAAATAGAGGGTAATTGGAATATTCAGACCTGTTCTAGAATACTAGTGCAAGCATGACCTGCTAAATCACTTCTACAAAATCACTCAGTACTGCTTGGTTAGCAGATGAACTGCCCTGTGGATCAGAACAGTGTACATATATCATAATGTACATACAAATATATGTATCATGTAGCATAAAGAACAACTCAATGAATGCACAGACAGGGACGTAAGGAGGCAATTCTAAAATATTTCTATAAAGAAGCAAAGGCTGCCCTTAAAAAGTTCTCTCTACCTTCTAACTTTCATATCCTGGAGTATGATATTTCCACATCTGCATTATTTATTAAACATAGGTGACCTGACATTGAAGGTAAACTGTTAAGACAAACAATGTTTATCATAAATGTAGATTGGATTTATTTTTTTTTTTTTAATATTTCCTTCAATTAAATGTACATTCTGTGCCAAAACAGACTGCCTTCATCTGGGAAGTCTACTTTGCTAACTTGTAGTCTAGGACTCCAATAGACTACATGGCAGTTCCAGCCAACCAAAAAAGTTACATAAATGTGTTAAAACTGGTTCAAGTCAATAAGTGCCATGTGTGGCCTGCCTGGTAAGCTCCATCTCTGCTATGAGGCGATACCAGACGCAGGAGTGTTTGCTGGCAAATAAAGCAGTTTCCTCCTAAAAATCATACACTCAGGTTATGAAATTACTCAGTTTTGCTCCCTGTTAAGCCCAAAGCAGGGAAATATTCCAGCTACTATCTCTGTGGTCTCACTACTACTGGTTCTTTCTTTCTCCCCCCAGGCCCCGCTTTGTTTTTTGCCCCTTTGGCACAAGGCAGTCATTAGGATCTCTCCCAGTGTTTAGTAATCGGCCAATATCATCAGAAGCAGGGATTAGAGACAGAAATGCTAGATTCACTCCTGCAACACAGTTGAGTATTTTAGTGATTTCCACTGCCGTTTAAATACATTTGGTAAGTCACAGCCACTTGCCGTATCTCCAGAACTGTTCTAAAAGCCCTCCCCAACCATAGGAACTTCACTTCCTGAACTTCCTTTCTCCTTTAATTATCCAATTTTGAACCAGTGACTAATTCCCTTTTTCCTACTAACACTTCTACTGACTACTATGACAAATTACATAAGATTTTCAGTAGAGCTGTGGATTTTTCAGAGTTCTGTTTTATAAAAAAGTGATTTATTAAATCAAAGAGTATACAGGTTCACTTACATTTAGCTCTAAAACTATTCCAAGGCAATCATACACTAATGATACACCAGTCGCCACAGCAATAACAGTTACTGTCACAACAATGTGGAAAACTGTTGAGAGGTTCCCATGGAAAAACACATTGGCAATCACCTGAAACAGAACCGCAATTTTAAACCTTGATTTTGCCCTTTATGCTAACAAACAGCTTGTTCCAATTCTTCTAACCTTGTGAAACTAAAACAATGGGTAAGAATACACAGACTGAACTTTACCTATCTTGCTTCAAGAAAACATCTTCATCCACTTCCACAAATAACTCGTAACAAGCATTACTAAAATTGCAGAACACTTGCAAGACTGACTTAGTTATACCTGCAGGATTTAGGGTATACTTACTTTCTTCTCATTTGCCCACTACAGAATAAAAAGCACTTACAATTATTCATTGAACAGATGGATTTCCAAGATGGAGATACTTTTACAAAGCAAAACTAGTAAGCACGGTAAGTAGGCTATTTTCAACTATTCTCAACATAACAACAGTGACATTTATGCCAGACTTCGAATTTTAAGCAGTCCTGATATTATTAAGTAATTGTTAATATAATATTGGATAATATTATAATAAATGTAATACAACATTTTATTGCCAGAATCTAAACAGTACAACTAGTACCTCATAGTCATCGCATGCAGCAGGATAGGATATGCTGATATTTATTACACATCAACCACTGACTTCAGCTACAATATGTATTAATAATGTGAGAATATTATTAATATGTATCAACATTGTTAAAGGGAGAATGTAATAAATGCTTACCTCTCTGGTCACAAAACATTCAAGGGGGAAGGTCAGAATTACCGTAACTCCATAACAAAACCTTCCAAATGTAGCAAGGTTGTCATCTCTACAGTAGTTTTCAAATATATCTCCTGAGGCATAGCAAAACATCAATTAGTTTAAACTTAGTGTCATTTGCCTATTTGCAAACTGAAGTGTAAGTTACTGGAGTAATTGAGACCTTCTGATCCCCTCTCCTGACACATATCAAGAGACTGTAGTTACAGTCACAAATTATTTCCAGCAGGAAAGTAGCATTTATCTTTCAAAAATATTTTAACATACACGCATTAGAGTTTGTCATCTGTTATCTTCCCCTTAGCACAGATTTTATACAAGATGCTGGTGTTTGTTTAAATACATGTGACAGATTCAGAAAGAAAGCTTCTATATAAAAGATACATTTCCTTTATAAATGTAATTCCTAGAACAACAACAATCACACAAGGAAGATCAGGGAGTTACCTCTGGAGAACTGCATTTCCCTGATAGTATCTAATCATAGCTGGTAAGCTGCAGTGAAGAATTTCAAATATTGTGACCCTGAAAACTCATTATAAACATACGGATTATTACCTAGCAAATCTGCTTACATCTAACAACAAAAGCATTGCTAGAGAATTCAAATTATCATCTTGCTTATTGTTTACCACAAAGAATCTCAAATAATGATCTCTGAGGCACAAGAGGCACTGCAAGACAGTGATCAGATGATGTACCAGGTCTTTTCTACCCAATTACTATACTATCTTATGATTTTCTACTTTTAGGATCACAATGGCACTGAAGAAGCAATAAAGTGTACTTTACAGAAAACAGCCAAAACATTTTGACAGGGGAGACAGAAGGTAAGAAGGAACCTGCTTACAGTAGAGTCATATGCTGAGGGACAGCTGCAGTCAGAGCTTTCCATACTTGAAATATCTCAGCCAGCTTGCACTTAGTCTAGCTACAGTTGCATCTAGGACAGTAAGTTATTCTGCATAAAGAGCACTGGAGGCAGGAAAAAAGGAGGACAGATCAACCAGTAACCTCCATCCTACAATTCCTCTGTTCTCAACTACACGCTGCTGCTCACCAGGAATGGAAAAAGCTTGGAAGCCTTCTCCTACAATTTGGACCAGCACTAGTAAATAACAGAAAATCTGCTTGCTTATGAAATGTGTACTTTTCCTGAACAAGCTAATGCACTGACCAAATTTATGTCTTGTTCTTCTGAAAGCACCTTTTCCACTTCAACAAAATGATGTTAAATAGTATGATATAACATTGATTACACATATTTATACATATATGTATATCCATATACACACAAACGTGACAGTAGGATTAGTTACAGCAGAACATCTGTTATAAAGATAGGAAATATCTCTAAGTCAGAGCTAGGATGCTCTATTAGCACAGACAGGAAAAGATACAGGAGAATGTACAGAAATATATGCCAGGCACCCTGTAGAAAAATCAAGGCCATTTTTATTCTTACTGCTCTCTGCTAGTGGACCATGTGGCTAAATTACAGGTGTTTACAACTCAGAAGTATTTTGATTAGGGAAGTATTCATAGGGGACTTTCACTGGTGAAGCTTAAACTTGGGAATCTGACACCTATTAGCACGTAGCTGACACCTTTGTATCCTGTTTTGGTTGTTGGGTAACTACAAGGAATATCCTAACTATTTCTGTCCAAATATAGTATGATTTTGGCATTTTTATGATCACTAAGATATTAACAGCAAAAGTCAGACAGAAAGGTGGAAATAAAAGAATTACAGCAAGCACTAAAAATGAGGGATCAAGAAGTTTACCTTCTGTGTATCCTGTAAAAGTCATATATCCACATGCAGCGAACACTACACTGATAACCACAGCGAGTGAGACTGACACATGTGTGACTCGAGACCAGTTCTTTAATGTGGGTTTTTCCAGAGACCCATATATTAAAAAGCTGTTATGGTTGCAGATGAATGCTGAAACACACATAACAGTTAAAGCAAATGTATGAATTCATGCATATGCATATATGCATATAAAATTTATGGAGTTAATATTCCAAGGTAGAAGAGACACAGCACAGTTTGAATCCACTCATTATTACATACAAACATTGATCCTGCAATGAGTGGCAAAGATAAATGGCTTGAACTTTTACTTACTTATTTGATGAAGGTTTATATTCATCCTGAGATGATTCTGATTACATTACCCTAAAATGCCACACCATTTCCCACCCTCCTCACCTCTATTCCACCTCTATTTCCTCTTCCTGCTCTTCTTCTGCTTCAGAACCCAACAGCAGTTTTGAGATTTTTTTTTTTAAAAACCACAGAGCCATTTGCTACTTTCAGACTTCCTGTGACATCCATTTTAGGCAGCAGCAAGCATTGGGAGGCCTCAGATTATCACAGCATTAACAAGAAGTAATATACCAGATCCTCTAGGCAGGAACAGATTTTAGAATGAGGATAACGGAGGTGAGCTGAGACTCACCTGAATGGTTCATTGTGAGAAATGGGAAGCAACATGCACTCTCTAGCAAATGCACACATTGCAGTCTAAGATTTTTCTGGTACAGGTTATCCAAGACAATGCAGAACAATCACAGCCTCCTCAGTTTATCAGTCAGACCAACCCTATCGGTGCAGGTGTTTTAAGATGACCTGGACAGTTGAGCTCAATTCATGTGCCACACCACTGTCTCTGCTACAGTGGCAACAGCCTCTGGGGCCAGATGGGCAATGGATGGGGATAATGGCTTAAACCGTAACAATTAAATTCACCTATGGATGACTCAAAATCACTTCATTTTTTTCTAAACCAGCTTAACATGAATATAAAAAAATACAATTTAAAATATGCAATTTCTAGGTCCAAAATATTAAATAATTTCTTACAGTTGATCTGAATATTGAAAATATTAAAAAAATTACTTACCAAATGACATCACCCCAACGGCTTGTACTGCATTTGATTTTGCAAATATCCATGCATTTTCTGATTTGGGTCTAAAACAGACATTTGTTTTAATAGATTATCCTCTTCTCAACTATCAGTTATTAAAACAAATTTAAAACACTATGCTTTAACACAGAACTGCTAGTCAGATCTCCAGAACTCTCTGAAGCAGGCCACAGTGTTCATCAACAATAAGTTGAAACTAGGGAGATACCCTTCTCCCCTCCTTTGTTTTGATGAAAGTATTTCTGTAACCAGCTTTTACAGCCAAAAATGTCGACCTGTTTCAGTGACCAGTTTTGTAAATAAACTCAAGTCATTATATACCAAGAAACACCAACAGGGAAAGTAAAAGCTGTTACTGATTCTGACTAAGGTTATCTCAACCCAAAATCTCTTCTGACTATTTAGAGGCAATTTCTTCCTTTGAATTTGCACATGTAAACCATGCAGTCTAGAGAGATTTTTTTTCCTAGGCTATAAATCATATGAGGCAGTTTGCCTTTCTTTACACCTGTTCCAACTATTCCTCATAGTAAAGGGATTCTGCTAGTTCCCAAAGGAGTGATAAAATACAGTGCAAGAGAGTACAGGGAGACTTTTATAATGAGGCAAGAATGTAATATCCCCCACATCTGCTCCTCTAAGATATGCCCGCAATTTTGGATCTGTGGTAATTGTAATTCTTAGAGGAGGACCACAGAAAACTATCAACAAACTGTTAAAATCCATTTGATGCATGAACTTCCTCTCTGAATAAAGAACCAAAACGAAGGAAAGGAGAAGGACACAAAGCACGCTTTTCCAGAACTACAATTTGCTAAAAATATCAAATTAAATTCACAAGCCAGTTGAACATTATATTTGTAATATTAAAGCACAAACAAAGGAACAGTACAGAGAAGCTTGCTCTTAAGAAGTTGGCTGCTGCTAACTTTGATTGCTCTGTTTTATTTAGAGGGAAAGCTGCTGCCACCTGAGGCCTTAACTGCTGTTTTCCTACTGTCCTAGAAAGCAGTGTGGCACTCAGGCAGCTCTGTGAAGGTAACAATGGCAGCTTTGTCTCCCCCTCTATCTGGTGACAAGTAGCTGGTTTTGACAGTGTAGGGGCATATGCTATGTACGCTAGGTTTCACTGCTTTCAAATGTTTAAACTCCATCCCCACCTGCTAAAAAGAAAAAAAAAAAAAGATAAAAATGATGTTGCTGTTTCCCCTTTCAGAACTCACATCTTACTATTTCATGAGAGCTCAAATAGTCAATCCTTCCTTTTCTATATTAAAAAAACAGATTGAGCATCTAATGCACATTCAGTTCAGACTTAGAGCAACTTTTCAGCTCTTAAGCTGCGGCTGCTAAGCTTAACTTTGAAACGAACAGAACCTGAGAATCAAAATCAAGTTCAGTTTTTTGTACTTAGATGCAGTATCTTGTCTTGACTACTATAACATACTGCTTCTAGTCGTAAGCAGATGAATATGGCCCTCCTAAAGCATTCTCAGACTTTGCATGTAGATGTAATAAATACTATGGATGAAACAGAGATATCTGGCATTTGTCTTGTGAAATAGGAGTTACAACCCGCTATAGCTGCTGTAGCTTCCCTTAACTTGATGCCACTGATTTCAAATCACTATAGGTGTCTGTGGACAATTCATAATTTTGAATGTACTATTTTTCAGAAAAACATTCACATCTGATTAGGAAAAAAATCAATAATATTCAAAAATAAAAATAGAATATAGAAAGCTAACATTACAACTGTTCCATTCCATAACCACTAGAGGTCAGCTTTGATACCAAACACAGAATGAAAATTTGTTTTATTATCCTTTGACAACAGGATTTGTGAAAGTCTCCTTACCCCTTCTCTATTAATAATTAACACTTAGATTATCTAATACCCTATAAACCAAAATATTTTTGAAATGCATAAAGAATGCTTTTGTCTGAAACATTTAATTTCTGTGAAAATGGTACATCCTGTGCAACAGTATAGCTATATTATAAGCTCCTATAAGCAGGGATTTAAAAAATGGAACGTAGAAAGCATGTGAACTTCAGTTGCAACATTTTCAATAAAGCGGACAAATAATCAATTAAAAAAAAATATATTACAGGAGCTAGTTTTCCCCCTGCACAGTGTTAGCTTATGCACTAGCAATATGCAACAGACCAAAATACAGCTTTGTGTTACAGATGAATGACAAATCAGATTAGGATTATTATTTGGGGAGGGAGGAATCCAAAAGAACAAAATCCTGCTTATTTAGCAGCATAAGAAGATAAAGTCCTTCCATTCTAGTTGCGGAATGAAGGAAGAATTTCAGATCCGTGATTTGAACACTACCAGCAGACTGCAATGTCATACAATGCATGTTGGTAGAGATGACATATGCAAGAGTATACGACTATTTCTTACAGTAAGTCATATACTGCTGCATGTGTTTCCAAAAACATTTTCATACCTTGGGAATAGAGGGATCTCGCACAGATGTGATACGTAAACTAAGAAGTGAAAGCAACACAGTAAGAAATTTCATTTCTAAGCATTCAGAACTAACAGTCAACAGCTCTAGAGTTCTGACCATACAACAACAAATCACCCCCAAGTCCAGTCTGCAGGACATACAGACTTATGCAAAGCTTCTGGAAAAGGGTACAGGTGACATGAAAAAGTGTCTATATAAAATAAGACTTCAGACTGGGAAAGAGAAAATTGTTTCCTGACAGTAAAAGTAGCTGTTAGTTATGGAAGAGCCATACAGTGAATAATCACTGAAAATGACTCACAGGACAAAGGGCACCTAATGGAAATACCAAGTGTCAAGATAAACATACATACATTCATACAAATATATGCGTCTGTGTAGACAGATGCATACATAGGCTGAAACACTCTATCACAAGAACAGCAGGTAGCACTATACCTATTCTGCTTTTTCAACCCCGCTGCTACTGTTCAAGATTTTTTTTTTTTTTTTTTTTTGAGAAGGGCCTTTGTTCTGACCAGTTTGACCTACATTCTTGTGAGGAATTGTTAGGGGAAGATTTTAACTGCTGCTCATACAAGAATAGCAGTAGCTGCTAATATCCATGAATGACAAAACCAGCTAGCTCACTGCTCCTCACTCAGCATATAAAAACACAGGCTATGCCTGGATGAACACGAAGGGGTTTTTTTGTGCTGGAGAAGTAGTTAGATGAAACACAATGAAAGTTAACAGAAGAACTACATTTGTGATACTAAATGCATTTGTTGAGAGTTGTACTGTCTATCATACCTAGTAAAAGTTGTAACAAAAAGTAGGAGAGGTAATATAACTGTGATTCTTGGGGAAAAAAAAAAAAAAAAAAGGAATAAAAGGACATTCCAAGGGAGATTCCAAACAGGAAAAAGTCTCAGCTGAAAGAGAACAGCAAGACAGACTGACAATTAGAACTGTCTGTAGGAAGTAGTGAAGCCTAGTAATGAAGAAAGCCTAGAGGTTAAGAAAATAACTCTCCTCAGTCTTCAGTATACTTAAGGCAAAGTATAGCATAATAAACATGCTAATGAGTTCAGAAAAGTTTTGACAATATTCATGTTTATTTACATAAGAACAGGGAAAAATGAAAAGAACAAATGAATCAGGCAAAGGTTAAGACCTCCTAACAGGGTAACAGACATTTCACACCCAGATCATGAGTAAGAGTTGGACAAATTCATTTGGCAGTCTAAACTAGCATATCTTCTTCTTCTTGTAAAACATTTACAGTGTAATATTCCCCATCCATGCTATGCAAATATCTTTTCTGTCATTTATGTAGAAATGCTGCCAAATATAATACAGCAGCAGAGTGCATCAGAAGCAAAGTATCCTTAAGGAGGGCAAGAGAAACATATGTCCCTGATCTCAACCCAGCTTGCAGGTATGAAACACTGACTGGAAAAAAAACCCAGTTAATTTCTAGAGAGGAAGCAAAGTCATATGTTTGACAGGGGACCTATATGTTGGAATGAGCAAAAGACTTCCATTGTTTTGGACTGAAGATCAGTCCAGTTTGCACCAAGTTTAGGTGCAAACTGGCAGTTATCAAAATAATCCAGGAACACACGGCAGATTAATTCAGGTTTAATTCAATGATTTAGACATTTAGGAAACTAATTGTAAAATTTCAATTCAGCTCTATTCTAAGGTAAAATACCCTTTTAGTTTTTGTTTAAACTTTAGAAGTTTAAAGATACTGAAAAAGTTTATAGATGCTGAATACAACTTCAATCAATATAACAGAAAGAAAATGAGTAAGGCCACATGAGCATTGAATTTTATATTCATCAAAGTCATCTTGGTTGTTAAAGAACACAGATGAGACAAAGCTATATGTCATCCCCACTTAGTTACAGCTGCTTTAACTCATCTTTCTTCCTTAATGAACTACTTAGCAGTTCTGTAAATATACGGTAGCTTAGGTTTTATTTTTTTAATTTCATCACACATTAAAGTTTATCTTTGCTTACTATTGGATTATTTATATGAAGGAAAGAATCAACTTTCTACTTTCAAGTTATTTTCCTGAACACTTGGTGTTTCATCCCTGTGATCAGCTGCCAGTTGAGTAATTCTCACATCCTATTTATGTGTAGCAGATGCTCTTGAAGTTTTTCCAAGAGATTTATGTATTATGCAGACACTGACATCATGACATTCTTTCCAAAAGAACACCAAATTAAAATGATCCATCTTTATAAGCTACAGAAAATATTGCTTTTTACAGCAATGAAAGTTTCGGCTTTGAAATATGAAGTTATTTTATGCAATATTAACATACTGCATATTTACAGTTTGAGATAGTTCTAACCCATTGTTTTTGATCACAGTAGAAAAATACCCAGCTATAAGCAGGTGGAAATAAAGGAACGAACAGATCGTCAAAATGTATTTTTATCCATCTCAAACTATTGAGAGTAAACTCTGGGTCCAGAATACTGGATTTTATCTGCAGGCTCATTGGATGATATTAATCAAAAGCAAAACAACAACAAAAGTACCTCAGTTTCATATTTGTCATAAGAGGAAATAAATTAAACCAAATAATCCCTCATCATAAATACATTTTTATTTTTCTCCTGAGAACTAACAAGAAAATAACATTCCTATAATGTCCCTGGACAACCCGCTCCACTCCCGAAGCAACTAAAAAAAGTAAATAAAATAAAAATGCAACACTCCAAAGACTTATAATTGCTGGTTTTCAGCCTACAGTTTCAAGCACATCAAATCACGAAAAACAGTAATAACGTCGTTGTTTTGCTGATGGTCTAACACATTGTGGAAAGTTTCTAGGAAAGATAATATTCTCTGTTGTCCAAATAACAGATATAATTTTCAACTAGAACATGAATTGCATTTAAGCAAAAAGACAGTTTTTTTATTCCCAGATAATCTTATACCTCTCAAAGGGAAGCAATCTTCACTTTGAAAAATCGAAAGGTAACTGAAAACTCGTTACTACTCAGAGAGTAATTATCAAAGTGGGAAGATATCTGAATGGGATTCCAGTGGAACCTGACCTGAGCCCAGCCCTTTTGAATGTATTCAGCAGTAACTTGAATGATGGAACAAAAAGCAAGAAGCACCCTTAACAGAAAGCATGAAATGAGCAGTTAACACAAGCATGCTAGAGAACAGGGTGAAAAAAGAAAAATCATAAATATGCCCCCAAATGGAGAAATCATCTGATAAAGCAGTATTCAATTCTGTAATGACAAATTCTACAGTTGTGCAGGGGAAAAAAGGCTTCATGAGAACAGGGCAGGAGGGAACAAGCAAAAACAACCCAAACTTCAGAAGAACACAGTAAAAGAAAGGAAAAATTGCCAGCTCACAGTTCTGCAGAGAAGGGCTTGTGCTTCTGTCAGACTGCAAACTCAAGGCATGTCTACAATGTCATGCTATTTTCCAGAGAGGCAAACATCAAACTAGGTTATATAAACAGGAGCGTGGCAGTCCCCAAAAGATGCAGTTGAAAGGAACCTCAAGACACTTTGCATGTAAGATACATCAGTCTTTCTTCTTTGCTCCTCAGTGGAAATACCACAGGCAGTTGGGGCACCACAGTATCTCTTTAATTTACAAAGAACCTAAGGCAGCCATTGAGAATGTTCAGTAGCACAGGAAATGACAAGAGAAACACTAAAGCAACTGCGTTTGTTTAGTCTATAGAAAGGATCACCAAAGGGGGACAGGATACAGCTCTTTACAGGTGTTTTTTAAGCATTTGAAAAAGAATGAACAGTTTGCTGCCCATATCCACTGCGGTTAGGCCAAGAAGCCATCAACATGAAATACAGTAAAAGAGACATACGATACACATGTAGAAAGAATTCATAAGAAAAGGCTAGTTAAGAACTGGAATAGGAAATCAGGGAATTGCCAACAACAAACTAGACAATCACCTGTCATCAATGACAAGTATACAATCAGTTCTGCTGTGTAAGAACGGTAGGGATTAAATATTCTCTCTTGGTCCCATCAAGCCTTTATCTAGAATTGTACAAGTTCTTTTCCTATATGACAGATCTGAGGACTGTGTTTCATAATCACAATTTTTTAAAATCTCTGAATACTTCAACTTCTATTTTATTTTAATAAGGATTCACAGTAAATGCATTATTTACTTGTTTCACTTGTGATAATACTATGATGGGACCCATTTTAAATATATTAGCGTTCTTTATTCTCATTGCAAAAAAAGAGATGGCATACCATTATACCACTAACAAAATATTAGGAGAGGTTTTTAATAATTAAAGTATATGTCTGTTTCTAACTCTGAAATGCAAATAGTACAAACAGTCCTTGATAAAACGTTTGTGAGGCAAAAAGTTCTGATTAAGAGTTTACCAACTTGCTAGATGCATTTTTGAAAACAAGAAGTGTAAAGGCAAAAATGGAAGTCTCTAAAGAATTAAAAAGTAAAACTTCAAGAATCACTCAAAACCCAACATTACTTATTGTAAGAAAAAAATAAAGCCATGCATTCCATAATTTTCAGTGCATCACAAATGTTGAGAAGAAATGTTACCATAGTAACAAGGTCATCGGTAACCATTATATATAGCTTCTTCCTTTTTTGACTGGGGATTTTGAGATTACCCTTTCAAATACGCCTTTACCAGACACCATGGAAAACATGCGGCTTCAGAAAGATGGGGGGGGCCATCTCATACAACTTCAGAAACTGCTATTCTAGCCATCTTGAATGGATGCCCCCGTATCACAGCAGTAAGACAAATGAACAATTATGCGTAACACTGCTGAAACAATCATGGTGGAAGAATCCACTTCTTACAGAAACATTAGAAATACTATATAAAACTATTCCAATAAATAAAAAAGCACATTCAGAAATAGAGTTTGTCATCTTTATTAATATATCTTCACATTTAAAGGACAAGGAAAAAGACAGACCTTCTGGGCCATAAAGGAAAGATAATAGATTCATAATACTTTCTTGCAATACAGTGATAAAAATATTGCCACAACACATATTCATGTGTACTAAATTGTCTAGAACACTCTAATGTGCAATATTAAATACTACTCGTATGAGTATGAGCGCTGGAAAACAGTTTTGCATGCTTCTACTGTTGTTTTCTCAAATGACAGAATAAAGTTTTTATTATTGTGTTCTCTTTTTTCCTTTTCATTATTTGCATTCAATTTTTATTATGAAATCATTGTATTAACAGAAAAAGAAATATTCCTAAGATACTATCTATTTTAAGATTGTCAATATAGGCCATCTGGCAATAATGGACAAAATTAAAGACTTCTCAAGTGACAGACAACCTCACATGCCCATTCAGGAGCCACCTATTAGCCACGTCACCCACAATTTCCAATTAATTTGTAGTTTTTTTGAGACTTTTCCTAAATTTGCTTATGTGCAAGAGAAGAAATAAAAAGGATAAAGTACGTTTTAGCAGTTCATTTTGTATTACTATTAATATAGATTTATTTTTTCAATTATCTGTCTCTCCCAAAACAGCCATGTTCCAAAGCTATGCAGATATATGTAATAGTGAAATAACAGATTACATATGATGAAAAATTCACTTTGTGGCAAGTGTAAGAATACTCACATTTGTGGACTGAATGTTACTGTTCTCACCATCACAATAATCAGGATGACAATGGTTAAAATCAGAGAAATAAGAGATACCTGTAAAGGTAAAAATACGAATTCAGTCAGTGAGCTGCTGAAAGGTTGTCCTCTTAGCAGCATAATGTACTTTTTTTTTTAAAGAATAATTAACAACCAAGTAAAGTTCTAAATATCGCATGTCAAACATCTATAATTAGAAAGCTTGTCCTATATCATCATATTTTAATTTGTTATTCTTTTTGAGTAACTAGCCAATTGCAACTATTTGTCTAATTTTAAGTGATATTCCTATTTAAACATTGCTAATCAACAGTGTTCAGCATTTCAAGACCAGGCCTATATCACCCAGTGCTTTACAAGATTTGAGTTCTACTAGCAGTAAATGGAAAAATTCCAGTGATTCATATGGAGACCAAAGTTTTGCCTAAACTATTCCAAGTTTTCTGATATTTCTTGGGACAGAAGACAGTCTGAACTTCTGAAATATTTAACATGCACTACCCAGATGTAATTGAGTTCAAATACATTGTTATGACTGGCACTTATTTTCTAATGGCATAAGAAATGTAAACCAAATATCAAATGCTATTATGATTTACCTTTCCCAGTTTTGCTATGTCTCGATATAAAGATATAGGCAAGGTAAAGATGATGGTGGTAAGAAGAATTATGAAGTGACGGTCAGTAAGCACATTATCTGGTCCAACTAAAGCGAAAAAGAAAATAATTTATTTCTCTAAGAGACTGACATAAGGAACAGCTTAGTTATATTTGAAAGGCTAGGCGTAACAAACGCTGATGTTGACCAGGCTTTTATCCCCTTTATTCAAGCGAAGTAACACTGAAATAAAGACTAGGCATTAACTAACCTTGAGGAAGCCATACACAGCATGTGAATAATCACAAGAATTCTGCAAATTCAAACCAAATGCATAACATATGGGATATATTATACTTCGGAAGTCTGGCATTTCTACATATAGATTAGTATTAATTTCTTTCACCATGCCTGGGTCAATGTTGGCAGACTGCAAGTAAAACATTCTACGACTTCTTTCTGCCATTTACTCTTCAGGATTTTTTGACACTGTGTGTTGACATCAATTACTGTGCTGTTGAAGATAAGCAAATCCTTAAAGAACAATCCTAAAATGAGTTAATTTTGAGGTTTCTTTTGAGCACCTCCTTTCTTCCTGTCAGCTGGCTTCCACTTGCAAACTACAGATTACCATGTGAAGGCAACAATAATATTCCCTGCAATCAGTGGGATTTATTTGTACAACTGGTGGTTTTTTTCAAGCCAATGACAACTTAAAATACAGCATATCTCAGTTTCAGTCAGGCTACCATGAATCATGGGCTTGAATGAAAGCTTGCTGAATAATTATGACCAGAAAGTGACTAGCAATTGACATTGAAAGTCTGTGTTCAGTTCCCTCTATTCTATGTGAGATTATAATAAAGCATATATATTATATGCTTTCCCACCTCTTTCCAGGCAGGTATTCTACCAGCTAGGTGAAAAGGTGTACCATGCTGGAAGTTCCTCCTATTAAAGAAGCTGTATTGTATATAAATTATTAGATATTTGCTGTCGCTATCAACCTGATTCACAAAACAAGAGAGTGTGACAGTTAAGACTGCATCCACACTTTGCAGGCTTCACCTGCTGAAAATTATAGTGCTCCTGTGGAAATCAAACAGTTCATACAAATACTAATTTCCACTTCATTGCAGACATGTTCTTTTTAGTTTAATTTGCCAGTGAAGAATGTTTTAACTTAGCTGGCTTTGCCTTAAAGTAGATGGCAAACATGCACACAAACTGCTCCGCTGATTCTGCTGTGAAAACTTACAGCAGAGGAAGAGTAACAAGTAACAATTAAAAAGCTCAAAATGCCACATCTGGTTTTGCAGTGAATATCTAAGAGAACTGAAAGTTACATATGCAGTTCATGACCAACTATTACAGATATGCTTACATAAGCATTAAATCCATTATATTATTTGCAAGTCATCCAGAATTATTCACTAGATAAAGTGTAGTTTCAGTATTAAAATGATTATTATGGGAAATACCTAGAAAAGATGACAAAATATGATGACCTTGTAAATATACCACTGTGGAAGACTCCTTCTATTTGCTTCATATTTCATTGAAGCCTGTGGTCTCTTCGCTAAGTTCAATGATAACCAAGGACTAGGATTCATAGTTTTTATTTGAGAAAGACTTACTAAAAAAACAAAACAAAACAAAACACAAAAAACCACTCACACAAATACGCTTCAAGTTCTTAACTTGAACTATATTTAAGAGTAGTCTAGAAACAAAGTAACAGATAGAACTTCAGACTGACATAGGATGCTAACCCTAAATACTTATGCTGTATTCCTATCCAATAAATTTTCTCCATTCTGAATGTTTCAAATGCATCTTACCTCCAGGAATTCTCTGAAAAACTTTAGTTAAAGTGTCTCCTGTTATTATGTTGTAACTGATCATAGCTTAAAGAAAATAAAATTTTTTGTTAGTACAAGTTAAATATGAAATATTTCATAAACATTTAATAGACATATTTTGTAGACTTCAGGATTATATGCCACTATCCCTCTTGTATGAATTCTGGCTAGCATCAACATTTTTTAAGTTTTGGATTTAAAACAAAATTTTAAAAAATTCTTTAATGGTCCCCTTTTTTTTTTTTTTTAAACAGGTACAACCTAAGCAAGAATCCAGTCTGATAAGCAAGGCTGTTGTGCTGATTTGCCGTATAAACTTACTTCAGAAGAGGAAAAAAAGGCTTTTTAAAATTGTTTGTTTCTAACAGCAATTCTTTGTCAGTTTATTTTCAAATTCTTGTTTCTATTTAGTAAAGTTCCTGTGTTAGTCTAATAATCAGTCCTGCAATCAAATGCATAGGACTTCCTAGCTCATGTAAAAAGTTAGCAAAATCTTTAAACCAGAAGAAAGGAGGAGAAAATAGATGAAGATATCAGATATGGACTTCCCTTCCTTCCTCTCATTAATAAGAACTGTAGCCTTAACATTCATATTTCGTTCTTATCTTATTCTACACTAGAAGTGTGTATATGTATGCATGTGTGTGTATACATATACACAAAATATATTTATATACTTATGTGGTCTTCACCATTTAGACAGCATAAATATAGGTATTGACCTTAACTAATGCATAAATATTCACTTTTGTGAAATTGTAAGTCATTAACACTACTTATAGAAATAAATTCAAGGACTACATATGCATAACTAGTTCCATAGTAAGGACTGAGATCTTTACAATTCTTTTCCATATTCTCTATGAAGTAGTAATTACACTCTTTTTTAAGTCAACATGTGCAACATTGTTGCCTGCAATAACAGTAACTTGACTCCTTTAAAAATCTCAGCTACTTGTAGTAAATTCAGACTGATTATTCCCAAAGTAAGAATTTTGATCTGGGACTCTGTGGTCACCAAGTCCAGACTCTTGGTATCTCAAGTCACCACCTCCTGCAGCCCCATGTGTGAAAATATCAAGCTTATTTAAGATTTGATTTAATTATGTTACTACTGTAGGAGACTGATTCGAATATCACTTTATTTTAAACTTACGGTCTAATTAATTCGTGCCCAGATTATACCTGTTCTTTACTATTTCTTCTTCAAAGGGGTCTTGACTGCCCAATTTTCTAGTAGCTCATTGGGTATGAGGCTGAATTAATGCTTTTGAAGAGCAATGACAGCACATAATATTCAAGATCTGATCAGTGGCTTCTCCAATGACAGTAATACTACATCTTTGGAAAAAATATTAATTCAGTACACTCCTAAAGTGTACAAAAAGTGAACAAAAGTTTCCTTTTGTTTCAGGCACATCAGTTCTGTGCTCTGTTACTCATTCTAGAACAGAATCTCTGCTTTGCTATTTCTCATAGCTACTTTTGTCATTAATTTTTAGGTGTGTGATCATGAATTTCTCTGCTATTACATTTCAGCTCACTTCTATTATTCTGGTCCTCCAATTCATTGAATTCTTCCTCAGTCATTCTTCAGAACATACCAAGTAATTTTTAATTTTTTCTTTATAGGAAAGAGGCATATACAGCATATTCTTTACAGAGTTCTTAATGCTTAACCAGTGAAAGAATAAGGTAATGTGAAAAAGCTTGTTATTTCTAACACTTAAACATTAACATTTTATGTGATCTTACCAATAAATGGATATAAAAATTGAAGAGTTGAAAGAATTAGATAACCTACAAGACCGTATGTTTTTCTGACCAGCTCTTGATAGGTGTTGGTACTGGAGAGGTTTCCTCCTTTGATCAGTAATATAATGGAAAAATCTGTTAAAATATAAAATTACTGTTAAAGACAGTATGAACCAACTTGTGGTTGGTTACTGCTCATCTTTTTCACTCCTTAAAAAAAACAAGTCTGTAAAAAGGAAACCAGTGGCAGTGGGAAGAGCAGGGATAAGAAATCTCACAAAGGATCTCAGTTCACCAAGATCAGCAGTTATAGGCTCATATTGGAAGGAAACTCCAGCTTTCCTGATTAGGGACAGCAAAACCAGACTCATTTTCATTGGTTTTCAGTATGGTGAAAGGGAACGAGAACTGTCACAAGCACCAAAAAAGGAAAATTCAATTAAAAACGCAGAGGGCTCCTGAATGAATGAAGCATTTGATTATATCCTGAAAGGGGGTAACATGCGAGGACTGCCTGTGTCATGGTGCTAGAACTCCCAATCACTTTACTCAGCTATTTATCTAAGTTTGTGAAAGATAAAGCCTGGTTAGTATTTTGTGTCTTCTCCACTGTTTACAATAAAATATTATAAACATTTTTATTGGATACTTTTAAAATAAAACATGTGCAAAAAGTGATTTATCTGGAAAACCATGAAGCAATGTGCCTTGAAACAGAGCTGATGTAACAGGTGGAATACTCTCCCAGAAACTTTTTATGAAGAACTGTTCGAAATACTGCTGTTACGTCAAGCTATGCTTTAGTATTCATTTGAGCACCATGGGATTTTCCAGTCCAGATTAGTTACAGCGCAGAATTTATTAGAATTACCTTAGTGCAGATGTCTTGACAGGTAGTACCTAGACCTCGTCTATTCCTCATCTGGCTTTCACTTAGCTTGTAATCTATGCTGCAATAGGAACAGTTCCTTTCTGTGAACAGTATTGGTGTTTATTATCTTCTGAGAATGACTAAAATTCAGAAATTTTCAGTCTTTACAAAGGAGATTTCTACCGCTTTTTAATGTGAAAGCCAATCCAGAGATTCCCATGAGCATATGCAATTCTTACACAATATATACTCACACTATAATTGGGAGCAGACAAAAGCAGAGATACAGAAGGGTTCATTATTAATTGTGTTGCGTACTGAGCTGATCTTGTACAAGAAATATTACGTCTTTGTAGCAAGGGATCTTAGACCCACAAAACTTGAAAAAGATTTATCATTAAATGATCTAAAATTGTATTTGTCTGTCAATCTAGGACTACACCCACTATAATTCAAAAACATCCCCCAAAATGAAACACAGTGAGAAATGCTGAATAACAGCTATTTGCCAATTATTCAGTAAAAACTATGGAAAATAAATGCTAATGTTACATACTTAGCCTGTACTTTAAATGCTACAAGTCCAAAAGTTCTAACTATAGTTATAATTTCCTTGTGCAAGATATATTGAGCCACATCCTTAACATAATAAAATGCTGAGTTTAATTCACAGGTTCTGGGCCTATGGCTATAAAGTCTTCAAAATACTTAGAAATGCAAAGGACAAATTAAACTCCCTACAGAAAAGTAACTGAAATTTCTGAGCTATGTTTATGTTATGATTTCATGAATGTATTTTGCCATCAGACATAAAGAAAATTTTCCATTCATAAGGAACGTATTCCTTATGTTACATTGCTCTCCAGTCAAACCTTGATCATTTATGCAGACCCTTAAATGATATTTTTAGCAATGAAAAGCATCAACTGCTGCTCAGCATATGGGTAACAGAATCTGTGCCATTCATGTTGACTTGGTTTGTTGTTTTAAGACGAATCCACAGTGTCTTTACAAAAATTCTGCTTTGATGCCAATAGATTTACTTATGTTTATTTACCACACAATTTCAAAACTTGTCCCTTTTTGACAGTAAATCCATTTTTTTGGATGAATGATAATTAAATAGAATATTCAAAATCATATTACAACCAAAGGTTTTCATTCTGCGGTATATTTTTAAAAAGTGATATACAACCCACTCAAAGATCATTCTCTTAATTAGGATAAAAACAGTGGACTAAACAGGTGATTATGAGACACAAATAAGAGCAGTTCTTCCAAATGTCACCTTGACCTAGCCTAAGAAACTAGGCTTTACGAAAATAAAATACATACAAAAAGCACCTTTATATGTTATACAGTATAATTCTCTACTTTTACTAATCTGCTCAAGGGATTAGTGAGGCAAGGAAAAAAATTGTCATTTTTATTGTCATAGATATACTCATTTAAGGTATCACTAAGCTCAAGATCGGCTAAAACACTGCAAGACTAATTTTCACTTTACAACAGAAACTGCTTTTAGAGTACCTGTGATATAGGCAACCACAAATAAAAGCAATACTCCTAGTGGAAAACCAGCTTCCTTCATTGAATATGGCAATCCTGTAAATAAGAAAAGGAGAGATCATAGAAGAACCCTTCCAATACTTATTAGTCATGACCAAAACAAATATTCAGATTTTAAAAAAATGCTATCAATCTCCCGAATTGGACCAGCATGCTTAATAACCTCAGAAAGATCATTTTTAGTGGACAAAATGTTGTATGGGTGTGAAGTTCAGTCAGCACCTGCCCAACCAGTTCTCTCTGATCATTATGGCAAAGAGGCTATAGGGTATTTATCACTGTGAGACGTGATCTCAGCTGACACCTCTGCATTTTTGCATAGCAAGCAAATAAAAATCTTTAGGAGCAGCAGCAGAAAGTAAGACAACAGTGTTATTCTCCAAACTGCATAGTCATGCATATACAAACAAGGCTGAATGCAGGATAGTTAAGAAAAGTATACTTACCTATAACACCTGATCCTATAATAGAGTTGATAATATTAAATCCAGCCGATGCCAGATCACTGTTTCCTCCTTTTTTACTGGGCTTACTAACAAGGGCTGTTTGGTCATCTGTTTCGACCTATTTCAGGAAGACAATGATACCATGATACATGAGAAAAACAGGTGAGAATGAGGATTTTACACATAGTCTATTCAAGATCAAAAAAAATTGTCATAGACTCAGATTTGTAGAGGTATTTTGATAACTAAATCCCATTTTTTTCAGTGAGAAATCAAAGGGGTGTTAGGCATCTAATTCCTGTATAAGTCTGACCCATAATCTTCTGTAATTAATTATTCTGTGAAAAAAAGTAAGTGGAAGGACAGAAATGTATATAAACTCAGAGGCAGGCTGTTAAACAAGGAGCTTGTTTATGTTCTTAGTCATGTTCCAAAGGCAGAAATATGAATCAAGTATTTTTGAAAATATTTTGACTAATATGACTGGTCAGCAAAAATAGGCCCCTGAACCAGGGGAATGAAATCAATTTCAAGAGTTACTAGTAAAGTATGCCAACATCTGAAGATGCTCTAATTCAAGTTTTATCCAGCATTTTAAATATTTCTGTGTCATCCAATGGTTTAGTTCATTAAGAATAGTTAACACCACTATAAAATTGGCTAGTCCCAGAAAGTTTCTGTGGGAAGGCCTGGTACAAACCAAAGTTCAAAGCACAATTTGTAGCCAGTAGCTTCAAAAATTAATGTTCTTATCTTCAAAAAGCATTTCTTCATAAGCATGCAGTGGTCCTCTTCTCAGATCACCACTCTGCTGTCAGAGAACACTGCAGAATCATTCATTAGAAGGCCAGTATTTTAAATGAAGTCGTGTAATTTAAAAGAGGAACATGCATTTAACGAAGAAAATGCCTGCCTGTGTTCTACAAAAGCAAAACATTGTGTACTTACCATGAAAATAAAACCACTATTACATGGATGCAGGAGCCTATTTAAGATATATAGCAGGTAGTACAAACTCAGATGCTTGTCACTAATACCCCTGGAAAAAAAATTAAATGACTGATAAATCTAAGTCATCTGTAGATAGTAGTATAAGCTGACAAGCATAAGAGTGCCTCAAGGAGGGCTACATATTTAAGTGGAACCTCTAATCGTTAAGCATAGTAACATAAAAAGAGTAATACTGGCTCAGATCAAAGGCCAGTATAGCCTGATATCCCATTTCTGAGAACAGCCATGGAAGGCGCCTAGGGAAGAGTATAAGAACATGAAAAATAGATAGTTAGCAAATAACTTTCCTGTCCCAGCTTTCATCAATTTGCATATCCCAGACTTCCCAAAGCAGATATGGTCTTGGTGCATCACATCCCTTAATTGAATTTGCTCCTTGAATTTGCCCCTTTTTTGAAGATACGCATATTTTTAGCATCTGCAACATGGCAATAAATGCCACATCTTAATTACACGTCATATGAAGAGACAGGGTACTCTTCTTTGTTCTGAATCTACCATTAAATAATTCCATTTGGTGTCTCAAAAATTTTTCTATCACCACAGACAAATCAACCACTGTTTCCTACTTATCTTCTCCACATCACATGCAGTTTTATAGGTAACATTCTCCCTCAGATGCTTCTCATCTAGATTTACAGGTGCTACATTTTATTTCACTACTGATTTGAGCAGCAGAAGCATCACTGTCATTCTCTCCTGAAATTTTAATGCTCTGATACTTACAGCACAGTACACATGAAATCACACTGAACTAGAACAGTCCAGTTCCCTCTTTTCAGTTGCTACAAGAAAATGAACACAATGTGCATTGTACAGCTCAAAGACTCTGACATGAACCCTGGTCCCTTCCCCGCTTGGAAGAGACACATTTGAATTGGTAAAAAGGTCGAGAAAGGGCAACAGAAATTGTGACACAGGTGAAATGGCTCCTGTGTGAAGACTAGCTGTCTTGAAGGTGCCCCTGGAGTGCAGACAGGGGAGGGAATGCCTGTTGGGAGGTGTGCTAGCAAGATATGCAACGTGGAACGCTGCAGCAGAGGTGAACGGGATGCATTTGCCTCTCGTAGGGTCCTCTCCCAGCGTCTGGCTGCAGACCATGAGACAGCCAGGGCCACCCGCTATCATATTGATAGCAGCGGGCCCACCAGGAGATACGGTGCTCAAGTTCTGGTCCTCAAGCAAGACTGAATTTTAGCTGTGCCAAGCAGCCACAGTTTTCCTACCTCACAGTAAGGTCCCTCAGATTGCTTTTTTTTCCCTGCATGGCACCTATGAGGTTTTCTTCCTCATATGAATTAGGGGGAAACGGAACACATGAAAAAGCCATAGCTGCTGTCAGCTCATCAGCACAGCCGGGGAGCCGGGCTGAAAAGGCGACCCGCCCGGGACGCTTCACGCAGCTGGTCGCTATAAAGCCCGCCAAAAGCGGCCGTGGCGCCCCTCAAACGCTCACCCCCACCCCCCCACCTCCTCCCAGCATCTCCGCGACGACGGGCCGAGGAAAGTAAAGTCAGGTAAATGCCAGCAGGCTAGCCGAGCTGCGGAGAGCCTCCCATCTCACCCATCCCTGCCGCCACCAATCTCAGCCCCGGTACCTGGTGAGCAGCGGCCGGCAGCGGCTCCCGCCCCCCCCGCCCCCTCCCCCCGCCGCCCCGGGGGGGGGGGAGGCAGGGGAGGGAGCAGAGCGGCGCGGCGGGCAGGCTCTCCTGCTCCTCCCGGGCGGGCGGGGAGCGGTGGCAGGTGGGCTCAGAAGGGTCCCGCGGCACCTCCAGGGCTTTCGGAAAGACTTGAGCTTATGGGCCTGGCTCGGCGGCGCCCTGCCTGGCACCGTGTCTGCACACAGACCTGTTGAGTCGGGGTCGGGTGCTGGGAAGACTGCCGGCGCCTCGGGTGGGCGGGCGGCCGGGCGCCGCCTCGGGGCTGTGAGGCGGCGGCTTCGGGCGCCCTGGCGTGAGGGGGGTGGCGGCCCCTCCTCCGGTCGGTCCTTCGTTTGAGACTTTCCAGAAAGTAAGCACTTCTGCCTTGTGTATGAGATTCCGAGTTTACAAAGTACTTATTTATCCTGAATGCACGAGGAAAGCTTTCTCTGTAGGGTGTGCAGTGAAAACTGGCTCCAATGTCATAGTTGCTTATTTGTTGTTGCTTTTCAATATCGATGTTATTTATGAGGCCTCGCTACTGCAATAATTGGTTTTTTTCTACTCGGGGAGGGCAAGCTACCGTAGAGAGTGCTAAGTCAGGAAAACGTGAATAAATCAGATAAAGACCATACTGGGGTTACAGTGAAAGTATAGAAAGAGGCCAAACTAACTAAAAGATGCAAAATTACAGTGCTGAAAGTTTAGAGTCTGTAGACACCTCAGTTATCTTGAGCTGAGACCAGCAGTCTCCAGCAGAAACATGCTTTGTAAACATAGAGCAAGCCACACAAAGAAATGTACATCTTAAACAAAAACGTGTAGGAAGTAGTAAGCAGTAATAAAAAAATTGGAGACAGTCATTCATTTTGTGAAGTATTACTAGATGTAAAATTTAGGGTCTACAAGAGTAAAAAAATAACTTTGGGAACTTATTCCAATTACTGGAGGGCCCCATCAATAAAATGTGGATCCAGAATTTTCAACAAGATTAAATCATTATGGGGAACAAAACCTGAGAGATGACAACTAAACAGCAGAAGAAAATAGAGCATGCTAATTTCCTTTATATAGTCTTAAGAACTCTTACATTTGATAATACTTTACTGGGGTAAACTGCAGTGCTTAAAGGAGTGCATATGCAGTGCATCGGTAATTTGTCCTTAAAGATCTATGATGCATATGATTTAATATGGAGAACAAAGTGCACATAAAGACCATATATGACATTTTTGTTCAATAGCTTAAGCACATTAACTTCAGCGCCTTCAAAAAAAATCTCTAATCAACTCCATGACAAACTACAAGCTGACATGCATTCTTGTGTGACCAGTCAGATGACATGACTCAGCAGAGAAAATTGTAGAGGCCTAAGGTACAGGGAAAGTTCCTGTGATTTAGTATCAACATTATTTTTTTTCTTGAAATGTACAAAGAATTCTGTGTAAAAACAGGGAATTAAGCTGTTTTAAAGCTGAATGTAATAAAGTGTATAGTAGGTTTTCATGACAGTATTCTACCAGAGTCTGTATATTTAAGTACTGTAGCAACTTCCTCGCAAAGACTTTTTATCTAACACCCATGTGCTTTACAATCATGCCTCTGAGTTCTGCGATTTTATTCTAATTCCAGTTTGGAGCATGCATTTGTTACCTCAGAAAATAACTTCTGTTTTGTGCAAATGCTTTCTCCTATATGTCCTTGTTATTAATCAGATACATTCTTCATGCATTTATTTGACGCAAATTAAGTCAAGCTCCTGCTATGCAGCTCTTAACATGTGAGGGGGCCGGTGCCTGAACGTGGCACCCACTTATTTAAGAGTCCTAGAATTTTACTTGTATCAGTCATACTGGCATGATTCCAAGCAGTGTTTGTAAACTTAAAAGCTTTAGTTCAGTACACTAGCAGCGAATTACGGAAAGGAATTGGCACTTCCCAAAAGATTGTGTAGAGGGTCTTTTTCCTGTACTATGAGAGTAGTCTTTGATCACTTGGATTGCTCTGCGTTCCTTGCTGTGCTTTGGGATGTGGTTATTGTGTGAAAAGCTTAGCAGTGGTTTTAATCTTAGCAATGAGACTATAGTACATTGTGAATAAAATTACAGGGTGCACTGAAAGTCCATAATCCGGTGTTTGCATTATGTTCTTTTGGAGTTTGCTGCAGGACAGTTTGTACAATTGTTTACTCCTGTGGTTGTGGTGGAGGGCCAAGCTCTGAAGGATACCAACACAGTTAAACCACAGGGGTAGGGCAATTACAAAAAAAGAAGGCATCTTCCAAAAAGAAAGACACAAAGGAAGTTGCGTCCAAATAAGGAAACAGAAAGGATCATAAATCTTTGAAACGTGGAAACACATTAAGGCAGGCTAAAATGAGTTAGAGCAACAACCAGCAAAAGGGAATCAATACTAGTAACTTTAGTATTTATGAGCAGAAACCCTGCAAGAGAATCCTGAG